AAATTAAAAAAAAAAAAAAGACAGACCTTGAAGGGATACATATTAACAGACACACAAAATATATCCAAAGTCACAGAGGAGCGTGGCACATGAATTAAAAATGCAATCAGGCAAAGACATGATTATTCATGACATTTTAAAACTTTGCTCAATTTTGCAATGTTAACAGACAAGACAGACAGACTTGGTTCATTTTAGTTAAACAGCAAGAGTTCCGAATCTGTATGTTAGTAATCAACATCTACTGCCCTCTAAAAGATAGCTAGTATTTCTGACACAGACTTGGGCTAGTAAGATAAGCAGGTCTCCTGTTCAGAACTATTTAACGATGACTTATGTTACTAGAACTTGTGTGTCAGTGTAAGGCTTTCCTAATGAAAAACTCTGCCGAAATGAGAATTTTGTACAAAAAACACACACCACAAAAAAATCCCACCACCTTCTGCAATTATTTCCTCTACCACAGAGAACATTAGTAGTACAGAATTTTAGTGTTTAAAACGCTTTCTTGGAGTGGTCCAAGAAACTGGCCCCAGGCCTCTTCCCAGGCCATCCCTCTTCTTCATTAAAACACCCTTATCAAACCCTTCCTTTTCCCAGGGATCATGACATTATTAAACTGAAGAATTTCTTGTTATCCCCGGACATGCTTTGGTCAGTAATCCAAATATGCTAAAATAGGACCCCCTCCATTTGATGCCGTACAGTGATTAACCTAAGTCTTCTGGGAGAAAGGTAAGTTTGTGTGTGCTTTTTTTTTTAAACATTCTTTACTGCTAGGAAAAGCCTAAGATCTTCGCTCCAAACATTTCTCTTTCACACCAGTTCATTAATAGATTATAACAATATAAACACAACTAAGTCTTACACTATTACATTTCTTTATTCCCTCTGCTAGCCTAACACATTTATCATGCTTTACTTATCCTTCTATCTTCATCTTGTTCAAAGATAGCTCCTTAATTATATGCACCTAGAGCACAACATTTAAGTGATTCTTGTGGTCAAATCTGATTACTAGAAAAAACAAAAATCACACCAGTATATTTAATTTAAAAAATTCTCAAAAAGGTATTGTAAGCTCCAAAATGACTACCGAACATGTCCTGGTTTGGCCCATTAATTTGTGGCTAACAGAGAAATCACCAAAAGATTTATAGTGCATGTGCAATACAACTAGTTAGAATAACTAACCTCTTCCCTGAGAGCCTTGATTAAATTTTGAGCCACAAACCACAGCTACCAGAAAGGGTAATCCAATAAACAGATACAATATGGAACATTCCAGAGAAACATTACAACCTGGATCCTCTTCCAGAAACAAAAGTAAGATTCACAGATCCGATCAGATGTCTCAAAACAAGTTAGTTTGGAGAGACAGCAACAGTACTGCAGCAACATGTAAATAACATGATGCCAATCCATAATAATACATAATATTTAATCAGATTCTTAACTGAAATTCAGCATTTCAGCTCGTCTTACACAAAAGGAAAGTTTTAGAAAAGATACACACGTAGATCAGGTCTGGAATCACAAAATGAAAACAGAGTACCCAAGGGTACTTGCACGCTTTTCTCAGACACATCCTCAGACACATTTTTTCGCAGCCTTAACTTCAAGTCTCTTTTCATCGATGCCTTCAGAAACTCTAATTTTTAACATTTTACTAAATACAGGGAAGTAGCATTTTAAAAACAAAAAACAAAAATGAAAAACAGTATATTCCACAGAACGTTTGTCTGAATTCCAGTATCCTGCTCTGCATGCGTCCCAAAGCCATTTGCTTTCTTGCCTTTGAGCAGAGGTTTTCACTATACTGTCCAAAGAGATTTTACATCAGAAACCTAATCTATACCTTGATACATCTGACAGGCTGCTGCTAAGAGTGACACTACTTATCTACTTACCTGTCAAATATCCTTGCCTCCTTCAGGACATTCCCCAGATTGATGTAAGCATCCAAAAAATTTGGGTCAAGCGTTACAGCCTGAAAATATTTTTAAAGTAAGAGCTTTGAGCATTAACGCATAAATGTTCTCTATGAAACAGAGTTTTTTTTTTTTTTTTAACTGACAAACCCAATCTGTAAACATTTAAGATTTTAATCCAACAACCTAGTGAGGGAGGAAAACTGAAGTTAAACAAACCCATCATACAGCAGCTACACTTATGCTTACTTCTGAATCAACTCAGTGCACGACAGGTTTTTTTTTTTTTTTCTATCTGTAGAAAAGACAGAATATACTATCTTCAAATTCACTCATTCGCTTACCTAAGCCATGACCTAGTTCCCACCAAACTTATGCATATTAGAATAAATATCAGCTGACACCAATTGTCACTACTGTAGAATGAAATGTTAAACATGTATTCCATGTTAGGTTAAATCATACCTAACTACCCACCCGTGCTGTTTTGTCTTTAATTTGTTTTAGGGGAGAAAACCCCAAGAAACTGATCTGCATCCTTTATCCACTATAAGATTAGTGTTTTCTAGCTTTAGTAGTTCCAGAAGAGCAAGAAAAAAGCAAACACGTCACGTGTGTGGAAAATAACTGTAGTCGTTTAACATACAAAAAATTCACTCCCCATAAAAATAATAAAATGTAAAAAAAAAAAAAAACCCTCAGAACAGCTGATACAGTAACCTATAGTTTAGTACTGCATCTTCTGTAAGTATTTGGCAAGCCAAACATTGGCATGAATCACACAGTCTTTCCCATGGGAATTATTATTTTCAAATTAAAATACTTAATGTATTATTAACTAGAACACAGGGACAACCTCCCTCTCATCCCTCCCCAAAAAGTCAAAAAAAATTTCTGTAGCTCTGTAAGTCAGAAATACCAGGAAGAAACTGTCCGCCACATCTTAAACCTGGTTTTAGGTCACTTAAAGCTTAGAAATCAGCACAAACTGACTTCATATGCTAACCAGATAACTACACAGAAGGTATCAGACAACACATTCAAGTAAGAATTAACCTTATCCATCTAATCTAGAGAAGCCTGAAACACTAGTGGTGAAAAAAATCCTGAAGAAGAGGAATGAGTGTACCCCTTTAATTTGTTCTCCTCAGTCACTCACAAGAAAGCAAGAACACCTGAAACAGGATCATAATGAAAAAGAGATTTTAAACAAAGTTGCTTCTCTCACACACACATAAAACAATATACATACTCAAAACAGTATTCCCATCAGAATTAGATTTTAAAAAATTCTATTCCAAAAAAGGACTGTAAAACAACTTAATGAGTTTTCTTATCTTTGACATGTGTGTGAAGTCCTTAGGGCAATTCTAAACATATCTCTTTAGTGGCATACAGGCACTCTGAAACATCAGGAAGTAAAAAAGGATTAACTTAAGATGTTAACTAACAGGATTTTAACAAGTTCTCTGCTGATCAGAATTTATCTACCATCTACAAAAGTACTTATGCATAAGTAGGCAATTGCATGTGCATTAAAATCTGCTAGCAAAGCTGATGGGTTTAGATAGTTACCTTTTCAAAGTGATGAATTGCAAGCCAGATTTCTCCTTGGGCATTGAAAACACAGCCAAGATTACTCCAAGCCACTGCAAAGTTTGGTTGAGTCTCAATTGCTTTTAAGTAACAGGCCTTGGAACAGTTAAAGAAGAGAGATACAAGGGAAGGGGAATATTTGTAAAAAAGAAAAAAAATAAGAAAAATAATTGTTAGTATGCCTTCTCTAACCAGCCAAAAGTGACCCTGCAGTATAGGCTAGCTTGCGCCAAAACTAATGCGCTGCAAACAGCTGTTGATCCTGCGCCAGCGCAAACCAAAACCCAGGTGCAAGCCCACCATTTTTCAGTTATGCTGATAACAAATTAACATGCCTCCAGACACCAGGTTACCTCAGAAGCAGTCTTAGAAATAATTCGAGTACTACAGCAGAGTTAGCTGCCACCATTAAGTGCATTAAAAAAAAAAAAAAAAAGTGCGTAAAAACAACTTCCTTCCATGAGGTAGAACTCTTAAAGCGTGTAGTGGTCTAAAAGGGATAGAAAATGAGTTAGAAAAACTACTGAAAAAGAGACGCAGCCATTCTTCAGTTTCAACTGTCCTTCTCAAATGAGATGACGTACCCGATCTCATTTCCCAGTTTCTTCAAATACATTTAATCATCTACAGCTTCAAAACCTCAAATGACAGGATTGCATGAAGGTTTAGGTCCCTGTAATGCAAGCGCAAGAAATCGCTGCGCATCCTAACAGCACGGCGCCACGCTATCGCTGCGAACTGCTGTGCTCTATCGATTGCCCCTAGATACAGTGAACGGCCAACCAGAATCATTAATCTACCAGACAGGCCCATACAGAAACTTGAACGTTAAATTTGATGTCTGGACTCTTAAATGCATTACAACCCGATTTTATCCAAAAGGCTGCAGCCTGGAGCTTCGGCAGTCACCCAATCAGAGATTAATCATCTAGTCAACCGTTCACAAGGGCTACATCGCACGCAATGCGCGTTACCGCTGCGCAGCCTTTGCGCTACTGCAGGATCACAGCGCATCATCAGAAGAGCAGAACGCTGCAATCCAAACAAAGAAGAAAAAAGGAAAAAAATGAACAACCAGAAGAGTTAGAAGCTTTTACTATTAACTATCTCCAATTATTTCTTTAAAAAACATCTTAATTTACTTTTACTTTATTTCTTTGAAAGAATTTGTGGCTACTAGTATAAAACATTCTTACATTACTTGCTTGTAATTAAATATTTTAAGCTGTTTCTGAAGCCACAAGACAGAAGATTCAGGCATGGAGGCAAATGGTTTTGCTGTGGCAGTTACAAACCCGTTACCATATTTCTCATCATGTGACTTTTCGGTGCGTTCCTTGCTGGAAGAGGAGGAGGAGGTGTGTGTCTGCCCTAGATCCAGGCCTCGAGCTCCCTTCAGCGAGGCACCTTACGCATGGAATAGGAGGTTTCACCCACCTGAAACCTTCTAAATACAATATCAGTGGTGAAAAACCAAAAACAAGAGAGAAAATAAAACAAGATCATTAGTAAAAGTTCAACAAAGCAATTGCAATTTTTTTGGATATGTCTAACACATGGGAATGAGGACAATCTGTCTGTAACAAGGGAGACATGCAGAAGGGAGAGGGTTAATCAGGGCAATTGCATACAGCAGGGACTTTTTTTTTTTTTTTTTTGGAAGAAAGGCTCTGAAGTATCTACAAAGAAATTAAATTTTAGTTCAAACTGTAAGGAATTTGCTGGCTTGATCTTTCAAATGGACTGATAACCAAAGAAACACATTGCAATTTACTCAAGATGTTTTTCTTGTTTATTAAGTTCTCACAAAACGGAATAACACTTTCAAACTAGGTGTCTCCAGAGCTCTGAAACAAAGAAGTCAGCAACCTAAGGCAGGCGCAGTGTCTTGGCCTATACCAGTCACACTAAAGCTGCAGTGAAGTGCAATTCATGTTAGCTGTCCGCTTGGTGGGCTGAGAACCAAGTGTCTCAAAGACTGTTCAAACGGTAAACACTACTTCAAAATATTTTCAACCTGGATCTGACCAAATCATGTTGTTCTAGGAAGGTACACACATCCAAGTTGTTAGACAAATCAAAACACAATACATTTTGAACCTGCATCCCCGTTACCCCACGAAGATCTCATCCCTCCCCAAATGGTGCTTCAGCCAAACAGACAGCTACGCTGTTCATACACTCCACTTTTTAGCATGCGCGTGGGGCTTGGAGTGACAGACGTGGAGGCCAGAGCGTTTCCGATTTCTCCACACTCCTCACCCCTGCAGCGCGGACGCGTAAGGTGGCTTGTAACATGACAATTTCATTGCGCAATCAAAGTTTTAACGTGCCAAGAACTTTAAACTCATCTTGGTGTTCGAATTCTCGGTTTAGGAAACACAGACTGCTAGAAGCCACCTTTCCACTACAGCAAGTTTTCTTTCGATCAGTTCATTTCCAAACAAACCAGCTTTGTCCTTCTGATTTCTTTATTTTGGGGGAAGGGAGTAGGGAAGACATAAGAAAAGTTATTCAGGGGCGGGGGGGGTTCACATACTGCAGCTATTGATCATTTACTAGCCTTTCTTCCACTATCAAGGGAAGGGAAAAGTTAAAGAATAAAAATCTTTAAAAGCCAATATTACAAGATAACATTTGGATAAGTTTCTTCTCCACTTACAAGCCACAAAGGACTTTAGAAGAGCAGCATTTTCAATAGCACCTGCATCGTACAGGGATCTCGAGCTAATCACAGGCTCTCTGCTTGGCACCAGCAGGCAAGCCTCAGATTTGAAGGACTGTTACTTATTTCCAGATAAGAGCATGGTGGAGCCCCTGCCCAATACTTCAGAATGGTTTCAGATAGTCTAGTTCAGCAGAAAGACTTGGTAATGTTCCATTTCTTGATTTAAACCAACTTTTAAACATGGACATGCCATATCTTGCCCTGCTACTACTCTGGGGTGTTTCAGTGCCTTCAGTTTTCAGCAGTTTCTCAGACTGTCTGTAGATCAACGCAGATCTGAAGACTTGGTGCAAAGTTCAAGTTTTCAAAACACTGACGTTTAAATGTATTCTACTGAACACCTACCTTGGCTTCTTCCAAGCGACCCAGGGCTTTGAGCAGGTTCCCCAGGTCACTACGAACACAGTACAAGTCCTGAAAAATCAAATCACGCCATCAGCACTTAACCTTCAGGATTTCACAGACACTCCAAAGGCTGACAGGGAAGCCTTGCAAAGTTCTTAAGAGTTCCCCAGTTCTCCCTAACTGATTTTAAAGCAGTAAACAGATCTCAAATTTGAATGACTTTTCTCGACCTACTATTACTGGCAAGAGATAATCATACTGACTTTAGTTCCATAATAACGCCACTCTGAAGAAGTGGAAAGACATAAACGACCAACCCACACAATTCCTGTTTATACAGGAATACAAAAGAAATCAAAAAATCAACTTTAAGTCCCTACCCCCGAGGTACCTTTAATTCTTTTGGCAGAAGAGAAAACACACATTTTAAGCCTGCTTTCCCCACGGCCCCCCAAAGCATGACTGTCTCTTCCCTGCAAGGCCTGTCTTCTTAAATTACACCATTAATAATTTGAAATCATTTAGAAACTATAAATATTATAATGGCCTTGCTTCCTCTTATCCCCATAGCAGGGTTTTTCTCCCTGTTTTTCCACACTCATCTATCCATCTTCTACAGCCTTGCCACTTGCTATTTTCCTACTTTCATTTGTAGCCACAGCACAGACTACAACTGCAGCATGTGACAGTACCTGGGAAGACCAAAGAGTACACGGACATTTCTGTCGACGCTAACAAAAAAGTTTCTGACCTAAACAAGACTTACATAAGAAAATATCATCTTATAGCATTCCTAGGCAACGCAAATTCATTATGCTGAGCGGTGTCACGGGCAGAAGTTGAACAAGTTCACCTAGGCTTCAGAACACAGCAAAACAGGATTCTGAGCTCTTGCTGGACTTATTTTGCATTTCCTTTTTCAAAGGAAAAAAGGACTTAGGCACGCTAGACCAATGCTGCTTTGTGAGTATTTCTGGCAGAACACTGACACTCATCACCATACAGCATGGTGAAAGTGTCTTAATTGCTTGCTGAGTAGTACTATACAAGTTGAGTACAACACAAAATAAATAGAAGATATCACTGTAATTCAACGTTTGCTAAAAATGTAAATTCAAAACAATTACAACCCAAAACTCCAAAGAGCAGACCAATTAGTTCTATATAACTTACTATACTTTGCCAGATATACGGTTTCAGCCTACAAAACAAATCAATGTTTCTGTAAACCTGTCCGTGGTGGAAAGCTAGCCAACGCAATTGTAATCGTCATGAAATTCGTGATTTCACAAAATAGTACCTGATGGTTTATTAAGATTTAGCATGTAACTGTGTCTCAGCGCTTCTCTCACTGCAACAACACAGCTTTACAACACACCAAGCCAGATTACAGATTATTCACTGATATTTCTGACCTTAAAAACTCAAAAAGCCCTTCCTTTTCTGCTATTCTCAATATTACAGATAACAAACAGCAGCCCTTACAAGTAGTTCAACGTAAAGATTTGTGATAAGAGTATTCCATGCATTTTTCAGAAAACTATTAAGTAGATGATGAAGTTTATGGTGGGCACGTTGGACGGAGCAGGGGAGGGCTGTTGGTTGCTCTTTTTAACTAATGTTTGCTGTTTAAATAGTCTTAATTCTTCCTACATCCATGGAAATCTGGTATTTGTCTGTCTGTCCTGAGGCAGCAGTGAAGTATGGAGCTCTTCCATAACATAAAGTGTTACTTACAGGATTGTACTGAAGGGCAGACACATATGCCTGTACTGCTCCTTCCATATCACCTGCAGCTACCAATGCAGCAGCCAGATTAATATATCCATCAATGAAATCTGGTTTGAGGCGTAGTGCATGTCTATAATGTTCAATAGCTTCTTGTAGTTGTCCACGTTCCTTGTATACATTGCCTAGGTTCGAGTAGGCTTCAGCCAACAATGGATTCTGTTTGATAGCCAAAGTGCTGAAGTGAGCAGACCTGAAGAAAATAAGACAAGTTAAAAAAAAACCACTGACTTTGCCTGTCCGCTTACTTAATGAACACTCATGCTCAAGTGAGCCAAACATATAGTCAACAAACGTGAAGTTACGGAGAGCAGTCTTAAAAGCGTAGCTTCTCTTAGCTTAAATTACCCTCTCCCTTCCATTTTAGATTCTACTGAACAAAGAACAACTCTAGTTTGCAACTAGTAGAGTCCTGCAAGCCTCTGGCTAAACCTGAGCTAAACGCAGTTTAAAAAAAGGTTACTGTAGAATGTCTGTTAAGCCTCTGCCAACATCTGACAGCTTTTCTCTAAGCAATATTTTACTGGATACTCTTCTCAAGAAATAGGATATAGCAAAGATACGTAGGTGTAAAATTCTGTCTCCCACTCACTTTTCCCCGTATCTGAATTATTACGGCTTTGTTTACAAGCCTACGTAAATTAAATCCCACTCACAAGTTACTTCCATTGCCAGCACACACAGAGTCACAGCTGAAACAGCTAATACCGTTTGAAATGCTTGAGGAACAAAAAGCAAGCTCAGGAGCAGATAGAAAGAGAACAGGGAGACAACTCTCAGAGAACAAAACATTCAACTAATCACGCCACTTCACAGCAAACAATCATCTTGTCACAGTCTTGCAACTAAAAAAAAATTCCCCGCAAAACCCCACACTTCAGGTGGAATGAACGATCATTATTTTTTGCAAGTGCAGACGCCTCTGGTACATACAAGCATGGCTGATATTCTGATATCAAAGTAAAACATGAGTAACAACATCTGTTGTTTGTTGCAAGGCTAGCAATTCCAATTCGGATTTCTTTTGCCCTAGCAAAATTCAGAAAGAAAGAACATTTTCGGACCAATTCTTACTGCTGCCAAGAGGTTAGTCAGTATTTGTGTTCAACGATAAAACCGCAGTTGTAACAGAACTTTTGTCAGCTGTGCTCAATGTTACGAGAGGTGCAAACTACAAGTAAAGCTTGACAGGACACCTCAGGTCTCCTACCTGTCCAGTCTGCGACACTGGAAGTGAATGGACGACAGTAATAAAAGCACACCAGTATTATCAGGCTCTTGTCTCCAAAGTTGCATGCAGTGTCTCTCTGCTGCTTCAAAGTCTCCTGCCTGATATTCACGATGAGCCAACTCCGCTAACCCTTGGAAGGAAAGCATACGTTTCGTTGGTTCTGGAGAATCACCAAAACATTTAAGGGGGGAAAACAAAAAGTTAGATAATGGAAACAAAACAAAAAAATGTTTAAGCAAAAAAAAAAGATGTGCAAAACTAAAGGATGAAAATGCTTGAAATTACATAAAGTACTACGGCATGTGACATTTAAAACTCTCAGATCTTCATACCTCAATCTATAGTTATGACACTTCTAACATGATGGGTATAATAGTCCATAACCTCATCAGTTAATAATAAGCGTATAAACACAGAGAGTCATTACAAGTCAATCATTTTCCAATAACCTGAAAAATATCCGACAACATTCCCAAAATAATATTGTACTTTGGTTCATAACACTAAAAGTGCTAGTAACAAAACAATGAATCTGTTGACTTTTCCCCAACTGTAAGTCTTATACTTCATAGTATTAAAGACAAGTTCTAAAAACCATTAATTGAGAAATGAAGAGGACAGCAGACAAAAACTTCAAAGGACTCAAAAAAAAAAAAAAAAGTTTTGCTGTAGCAGTAGATTTGTAGCACGTGAAAGCCCGTAACAAAAATGAATGAATAAATAAATAAATACAAGTGTAACACACAACATTTCTTCCAACCTCTGTTATCAGGCTGTATTATCTATAATGAGTAAAAATTCTCCCATCAAAATCAATTTTGGTCTCAGAACGATAGCTGTGATTTTTATGCTGTTGGCCCACAGAAGCAGTCTTTACAAAGCACAGGATACAGAAAAGGATTCGCTAATTCTGGGTGTCGAGCTGGAACTGGAGTGACAAAGTGCTTTTACTGTTAACAACATATTCACAGAGAACAAAAAACTTGAGTAAAATATCACCTGTTTTAGATTAACAACCTTTTTTGTGAAAAGTAAGTTGTCTTACAAAGTACAGTTCTATCCTAGAAGATAGATATGGTAAGCGCATCTTGGGGGAAAAAAAAAAAAAGTTCATCCTAAAAAGAAGGATCTGCCCTCAAATTGTCTTTTTATTTTATACTTACGATATAAAATTACTTATTAAAAGTATAAAAATATGTTTCAACTACTGCAAATGTCTCTTATTTGCCCTTCTTCAGTCCTGCAGTCACTTTTAAACTCGCTTATTAAACATTTCCCACCAAGACATAGAGTTTTACATTTTTGATACAACGAAGCACAAGTAAATCCTTCCTAATACAAGGAAATTTGCTAATGCAATAGAAAAATAATCACGAGGAGATTAGGCACAGAGTTATTATCTAGTGTTTAACGGACTTGAGATTGATGGAAGCCATTTAAGTTCTTTTAAAGAGAGCTTTTTAGCACTGCTGGGTTTTGAAGACCGCAAACACTACAGGAGGTAACTAAAGCTGTTATTCCAGATGCATTGTCTCTGTCGGTGTTGAAAACTTTAACCGGTTCTGGCTTCACTGAAACTAGCACGACTACTCACTTCCAAAGACGTCACAAAATACTAATCAAGTATCTTCACACAGATTAAGTCCTTTTTTCAAGGAGCCTAGCTTAAGACCTTTCCAAACCCAGCCTATGGAAAACGTGGACTTCTGCATCTGGTTAAACCTACTGACAGTAAACACGTACAAGCGTTATTTAACGTGAAAATGACAGCATCATTTACCAAAATTTGAGGTGGCTGACAAGTAAGAATACTGAAGTACAAACATGCTGTTCCTTGCCTACCTTCTGTTGTTAACAGTCACACAGGTTTAGCTCATCTGACAGCTGCTGTATTTTCAAGTTCTGCTGACAGTGCAAAAAGGGGGAAACTAGTGCATGCTCCGTGGACCTAATTCAATCATTTCTTCAAATAAACTCCAAGGGTATTATTAAATTCGAATGCTAACACAAAACAAATAAACAAAAAACCCCACAAAAACTTAGACTTAAATTCTTATCACCACTTGGAAGGAACCTTCTAACTTACCTACATACTATGCTTTGCCTATTTAAGCAAAACAGAAAACTGAAACTGAAGTTACAGTTGTAGGGGCAACAGAGAGAAAATGAAAAAAATAAGAAAATTTCATAAAATTCATTTTAAAAATAGAAAATTTCATATAAAACCCATGAATAAAAATTGTTAATGAGAACAACAAAACGAGTGAAACACTAAGATTTCTTTCATCTATGAAGTCCCCTTACAAAACAAACCCTACCAACTGAGATAAAGCAAACTAGTCACTTGCAGTAAGACAGTCAGCCATCTCTCCCAAGACACATTTTAGCAGCAATCCTCTTCACAAGCAAGTAGGAAAGTGCAAGTGGACAACTACCGCAGGCTTCAAAACGAGCTCAACATTTACTAGGGCTACTACAGAAGAGAATCACGTTATCCAAGGAATCCATAATACTGCCACTCACAGTTGCTCACAGAATCCATTTAAAAAAAAAACAACGCCAGTGAAAGAGTTATAGCCAAAAGAATCCCTTACCAAGTCTTATAAACATTCACCTGCTGTATTATATGAACTTGCGTACCTATGCCAGCATGTACTATGTGCCTTAATTACGACCTTGGAAAAGCATAGCATGTGCTACAACAATGACCTTTCCTGATACTTTTAGAGAACGCACACAAAACAAAAAGCCCGTGCAGAAATACCACAACCGTACACAAGACAAAAATTCTCCAGAAATAGCAAGCCAAGCACTTCATGTGCGCTCGCACCCAGCTTTGCATTTGGATAAAATCTAGGCGCAGACAGGAATAGTTGCCACCTCCACACGGGAGGTGGTGGTGGCAAGGAACAGGGAACGCTCCCCTCCCCATACACGTCCTTGTCACCTCCACAGCTCAAGGCCCCGAGAGGATGCTGCAGATCAGGGGAGGAGGTGAGTGGTTCTGGCTGAGGTGGAAGGCGTTATCAGCAATGCCGTACAGAAGCTAGTTGCCCTCTCTCCATCTCCACCTTTGTACCACTCCCGCTTCCCTTTGCGTCACTCCTACCAGTAGCGCGTCTCTTTCC